TCACCCAGTTCTTGCATCAAAGAAGGGCTCCACGAAAGTCTTCTCTCCAACAAAAGCCGAAAGACTGAGCAATTTTGAGGCTGCTTGGCTTCATCTGCACTGATCTTTAAATCAATTAAATATCAAGCCATGAAGCCGGCGCCGCGGCTCAGTAGGCTAATCCTCCGCCTTGCGGCGCCGGCACCCTGGGTTCTAGTCCCGGTCGGGGCGCTGATTCTGTCCCGGTTGCCCCTCTTCCAGGCCAGTTCTCTGCTGTGGCCCAGGAGTGCAGTGGAGGATGGCCCAAGTGCTTGGGCCCTGCATCCCATGGGAGACCAGGATAAGTACCTGGCTCCTGCCATCGGATCAGCGCGGTGCGCCGGCCACGGCGGCCATTGGAGGGTGAACCAATGGCAAAAAAAGGAAGACCTTTCTCTCTGTCTCTCTCTCTCACTGTCCACTCTGCCTGTCAAAAAAAAAAAAAAAAAAATCAAGCCATGAGAAATTAACCGAGAGGTTCACAGAGATGTGATCTTTCCACAGGTTTGTCACACAACAAAGTTTTGTTTTACCCAACAAAGTTTTGTCTTTGTCCTTATTAATCCACCTATTCCTATTTCAATAGCAACTGAGGGCGTCCATAAGCTCAGACTCTTAATTAAATGTCCACAGGAAAGAGGCAAATGGACTTTAAAGAGAGCTGAAACAGGAATGCCACCAGACGGGTCACCAGGCAGCCTGGGATGAAGGCCTGTCCTGCTCTAGATGGTACTGAGGGGGAGGGCTGGATGCATTTTTTTTTTTTTTTTTGACAGGCAGAGTGGTGGACAGTGAGAGAGAGAGAGACAGAGGGAAAAGTCTTCCTTTTCCGTTGGTTCACCCCACAATGGCCGCTGCAGCAGGCGCACCGTGCTGATCCGAAGCCAGGAGCCACGTGCTTCTCCTGGTCTCCCATGAGGGTACAGGGCCCAAGCACTTGGGCCATCCTCCACTGCACTCCTGGGCCACAGCAGAGAGCTGGACTGGAAGAGGAGCGACAGGGACAGAATCCGGCACCCCAACTGAGACTAGAACCCGGGGTGCCGGCGCCACAGGCAGAGGATTAGCCTAGTGAGCTGCAGCACCGGCCGGATGTGTACATTTTTACGGCAGATAGCAAAACTGAATTTTCAGCCACCAATCTCCTGGAAAAAAGGGCTCTTGGAAAAGTGTGGCAGCAAAAAAAAAAAAAAAATCTACAATTCCACAAAATTGATTTAAAAAATCTTTAGTAAATATTCCAAACTAATAAAGATGCAATGTATTTTTTGTAAATCTGCAACATACAAATAAAGTTTCACATAAAATCAGATCTCATATTTAAATTAGATTTTCTTAGGTATTCCATTAACTTTATGAAAGTTTACACAGTCTAACTCAGCATTTCACTTTACGGGATTAGAAAGAAAACAAGAATCTATTAACATATTTCAGATTGCAAAGCATAAGATGAAAAACACTTAATATGAGAACCTGCAGGGGCCAGGGCTGTGGCGCAGTGGGTTTAAGCCCTGGCTTGAAGCAACAGCATCCCATATGGGTGCCGGTTCGAGTCCCAGCTGCTCCACTTCCAATCCAGCTCTCTGCTGTGCCCTGGGAAAGCAGTGTAAGATGGCTCAAGTCCTTGGGCCCCTGCACCCACGTGGGAGACCCAGAAAAAGCTTCCGGCTCCTGCTGTTGGATCGGCACACTCTGGCCATTGCAGCCATCTGGGGAGTGAACCAGCAGATGGAAGACCTCTCTCTCTGTAACTGTCTTTCAAATAAATAAAATAAATCTTCACACTTGATCTTAGCCAAAAGGCCGAGAAGCGATTAAATAAAATAAATCTTAAAAACAAACAAACAAAAAAGAACCTGCAGTCTGGGGACCTGTAGTCTGGGGCAGGCATTGCAGCACAGTGGGTAAAGCCGTCAGCTGAGACGCCAGCATCTGTTATGGGTGCCAGTTCGAGCCTCAGCTGCTCCACTTAGGATCCAGCTCCCTGCCCATGCACCTGGGAAAGCAGTGGAAGATGGCCCAAGTGCTGGGCCCCTGCACCCATGTGAGGCTCCTGGCTTCGGCCTGGCCCAGCTCTGGCCATTGCAGCCATTTGGAGAGTGAACCAACACATGGAAGATTTCTCTCTGTAACTCTCTTTCAAATAAATAAAATAAATCTTGAAAAAAAAAAAAAAAAAAGATGCGAATGCACCTGAGTGAGCTGCCCTGCAATAAACGTCACAGAGCTTGGTCAGGCAGTCAATCACTTCACGACAAACTCCCCTAACCCCGAAGAGCCACCGACAGAAAAACCAAACCCCGGCTTGGAGCACTGGGAGAGCCTGTTTTTGGGGAGTGGGAGGGGCAGCACCCCTCCGACACAGGGCTCTCGACACCCCCTTGCATCCCTCCTGACAACTCGCATCCTGCCAAGCACAAGCTTCACGCAACAGCCCCAGGACCCAACCCTGCAGAGAAGTTAGGACGCACACTCCTGTCAACCCTGTAACACATTTAAGGGGCTTGTCTTCCTCGGGAAAAACATTTTATATGAAGATATACAACCACAAAAAAAAATTTAATGAGATGCGAGGTCTACAAAAAGTTCATAAGAAAATAAAATGAGAAGTTTGTTTTGGAGCAAGATTTTTGCATGCACGCTTACTGTCCACGAGACACGTTTCCCAGGGTCATTCTGATGACCCCGGGGATTGCACGCGCAGGTGAAGAAGAAAACAAAACACAGGCAGAGACTGGAGGGGAAACACGCGAAAATGCGAACAGCGACCAAACCGAAAAGGTAGACAATTCACAAAAGCCCTTTTCGCAGGGCTTGCTTTTTCCACCGACCACGGTACCACCGACCAGCTGGGAAGCACTGGCAGTCGCCCGTCACACCCACTAAGCTCACCTCTGAAAGCTGCTCACAGAGCAAAAACCCCAGACTCCCAGGCAGCCGCTTAGTACTTGTTCCTCATCCGGGGGAGGGAGTGGGGGGCAAAAAAAAAAAAAAAAAAAAACTACAAAATAAGCTAAACTCTCGCTTCTGGCCTTCCGCGCCTGACAATAAAGCCACCGCTGCCTTCCCGTGGAGAGGCGCACGTCCGCCTCCGCCCACCGGGCCGCGCCGCCCGGGGGCCGCCTCGAGCGGAGCGCCGGCGCGGCCTGGGACACGCGGGGCGCGAAGTTCGGGCTGCGCGTTTTAGCCAAGTCACCGACAGCCACGCCGCCGGCGCGCACCCGAGCCCGGGCTCCGGCCGTCTCGCGAGAGGCGCCCCGCGTCCACCTGCACACCCAGGAAGCCGCCGCGCTGCACCGCGTCGACTCCGGGCCCGGCCTCCCGCTCGCCCCTTTCACGGGCGCGCCGGGAACATCCTCTAGCCTACATTTCCGGGCTCGTGAGTCACCGAGAACCGCCGCTCCAACAGCTCCTGCGCAGGCCCCCACGCCTCTGGAGCAGGCGACCCCGGCCAGCAAAACCCGCGGCCCGCCGGTCTACACCAAGCAGCCTTTTTTTTTTTTTTTTAATACCTTTGTCCTCCTGCACCGCCCCCACCCCAAGGCCTTCAAGACGCTGCCGCCCTGCCTCGCCCAGGAAGCCCGCCAGGGTTTCTGCCGGGCGGAAGCCATCGATCGGTCGGGTCCCCCTCCCCCCGCCCGGGTACCCTGCTACCCCTCGCAGGGTCTTATCGCCTCCTTCCCGGGATCGCGGTTGCTGGCGGACGCGCCTTATCTCCCGCCCCAGAGCCCGGGGAGGCGACCGCGGGGCCGGCTGCACCTCTGAATGCATCCCCGCGGCGCCGCCCGCCCGCCCGCCCGCAGTCAGCACCCGGGGCTGCTGCAGCCCAGCTCGGCGGCGCTCCGCCGCACAGGTCCCCATCCGAGAGCCGCCGAGGCATCTCCCGACAGGACCCCCGCCGAGGCGCGCCCCGCCTCGCGGCACCGGCGTCTCCCGGGCGCCGGGGGCAGTGACAGTTAGCCCCGGCCCGCACCGCCCCTGCCCTCCCGAGAGCCGCGCGCGGCCCCGGGCGCAGAGGGCAGGGCCCCCGCCCGGCCGCTCCCGCCGCCCGAGAAAATGGAGGCAGCCCGGGGCCCGTGCGGGGCCGGCGGAAGCCGGGTCACTCACGGGGCTGGGCCGGGCCGGGCGGCTCCCTCTCCGCCTCCGCGTCGTCGCCGTCCCCGTCCTCGGCGGCCGCCGCCGCCTCGGGCTGCTCGCTCGGTCCCCGCGGCGCGGCTCGGGCGCTCGGCCCCTCCGTTGTCTTCCGCCCGCTCCTGCTCCCGGCGGCCCGGGGGCGCCCGCGGTGGCCGCCGCGCGGCTGCGCTCGCTCGGGCTGCGGCTGCAGGCGCTGAGCGGCCCGGCACCGCCTCCGCCTCGGCCCTCAGCCCCGCTCCGGCAGGCTCAGTGTCTCTCAGGCCCCGCGCCCCGCGCCCCGCGCCCGGCCCGAGCCCGGCTTTGACGTGCGCACTGCGCAGGCGCCGAGGGCGCGTCGTCGGGCGGCGCCGCAACGCCCCCTGCGGCCGCGGGCGCCCCCGGGCGGCCGGGCGGACTCAGGGCGCGGGAGCGGGAAGGCCGGGCCCCGAGTCCTGCTTCCCTGGTCAGGCCGGCTTTCCACCAAGACTCCCCAGCGAAGCTTTATTTCCGCGGAAGGCCTGGAGCCGACTTTGTGCAGACCGACTCTCCCCTGCCTGCGCAGAGGGGCAACAGTTCAGCGCCCCAGCGAGGGATGGGCATGCAATGAGCGGCAGGGTTCAGTCTGGACTGAAGTCTCAGCTCTCGCATGGTCCACTTCATGTCCCCGTGCCTGGATTTCCGCACACATTAAAATCCGAAAAGGGTAATAATACAGGGACCCGAGCCCAGGCGCGTGCGGAGGAGCTCGGACTGCGGAGGCCCGGACAGAAAGACACCGGCCATGTCTGCTTTTGCTTCTTCGTAAATGACCGAGTGTTTCTGAGCGCCTATTGTATGCACTGTAAGTGGAGGGGCTGTGTTCCCCACCCCCCCACCCCCGAACCCAACAGTGAATCCTGGGCGGCTTTGGGTGCTCCGCAGAAAGCCAGGGCTGGGTGAACAGGGGAGAGAGGCAGGAGGGATGTTACTTATGCTCCTCTGGGGGCAGCTACTTGAGGAAAGTGAGGGCCTTGGCCCTTTGTGCAAAGCGGACAGCGTGCAGGAGGTGCTAGGTGAGTCCCAGGGCGAGTGCGGAGCCCTGCGGAGGGGCGGGGGGAGCACGGGGCACCCAGACCACGCGGAGGATGCGATGCAGGGTTCTGAGCAGAGAAGGGGCGCCGTCTGACATTTCACAAGGATCCCCGCAGGCTGAGTCCTGCAGGGAGGCCCCGAGAGGCTGCTGGAGCCGCAGGTCCAGAGAGGCGGGCGCAGGGCAGGGGAGGTGCACGGAGGTGGCGGGTTCCAGCCGCATTCGAAGGCCGGTCTGCTGGGGCTGCGCTCAACTTGGTTTTTCTCAAGCAGCTGTGAGCTAGACTTTGGTGACAAGGGGAGGACTTCCACAGAAACGGGGGGGACTTCCTTTGGCGGGATCCTGCGCCCAAGCTGCCCGCTGGGCACAGAAGCGGGAAGTTGATACCGGAGCCCAGCGAGCGGTCAGCCCCGGAGTCTCCGGAGTAGGCTCAGGACCCCATGAGATCATTTAGGGAGTGAGTGGGAACAAAAGGCGAGGCCAAGGAGCAAGCTGAAGGGGCCAGCCCCGCGAGATCGGGAAGGGAAGACCAGTAGGGCATTCTGGGAGACCCGCAGGGGATTCTGGGAGGCCAGCGGGGGATTCTGGGAGACAGTGGAAGATTCTAGGAGACCAGCAGGGGATTCTGGGAGGCCAGTGGAGGGTTCTGGGAGGCCAGTGGAGGATTCTGGGAGACCAGTGGAGGATTCTGGGAGGCCAGTGGAGGGTTCTGGGAGGCCAATGAGGGATTCTGGGAGGCCAATGAGGGATTCTGGGGAGGAGGAGCCAGATAGCAGCGTATCATCTTCTGGTGGAGCAGGCCGCCTGCCCACCCTCCGGGGAGACTGGGGTCGGCCCTGGAACCTTGGCCTCAGCACTGGGGACAGCGCGTGACCGTTGAGGGCTGTTTCAGTGGGCGGCAGTGGGAAGGCGGCTGGAGCGCTCGCTAGAAAGAGACCAGAAAGGATCCCGAGAGACCGGAGTGAGACCTAGGACGGATCTAGACGGTGCGTGCCGACGACTTTTCATGGGTTTGGCTTCTAAGAAGGAACAGAGGAATTGGGGATGGGAGAGTAGCAGGAGAGGGATGTGGAATCAAAATCGGCTTTTTGTGTGATTTTGTTTTTTCGGAAGACAGCTGTGACCGCATGTTTAAACACCAGTGGGGGCCGGCGCCGCGGCTCACTAGGCTAATCCTCCGCCTGCGGCGCCGGCACCCCAGGTTCTAGTCCCGGTTGGGGTACCGGTTCTGTCTTGGTTGCTCCTCTTCCAGTCCAGCTCTCTGCTGTGGCCCAGGAAGGCAGTGGAGGATGGCCCAAGTGCTTGGGCCCTGTACCCGCATGGGAGACCAGGAGGAAGCACCTGGCTCCTGGCTTTGGATCGGTGCAGTGCATGGGCTGCAACGCGCCGGCCGTAGCGGCCACTTGGGGGGTGAACCAACGGAAAAGGAAGACCTTTCTCTCTGTCTCTCTCTCTCACTGTCTAACTCTGCCTGTCTAAAATAAAAAATAATAAAAATAAACATCAGTGGGAAAGGTTTAGCACTGGAAATCAAGGGTTCCACGTGTGGAAATTAAGCCCCCAATGTGTGGCATGGAGTTGGGGGGGAACTTAATCCAACCATAGTGTTTAGGGGTGGGGCCTTTGGGAGGTGATTGAGGATTAGGTAAAGGCAGGGGAGAAGCTGGTGGCTGTGTGGGAAGAGGACTCATACACGCGTGTGCACACACATGCACACACACACACGTGCGTGTATACACCAGTGGGCTCCCTGTCTCTGGCCTTGTGCTGCCCCGTGCGGGGTCTGGCCTTGGCTGCACGCCTGGTGGGGCTCTCAGCACCAGGACTGCCGGGCAGCGTGGGCACAGAGGCAGGGAGCCAGGTGGGTGAGGGGCAGGGAAGTCAGTCCCGAGGGCCTCTGGTTCTTCAGCGAAGCAGGAAGCAAGTGCTGTGAGAAGTTTCTGGGGAGAGCAGAGGTGTGCAGGGTCATCTCCGGGCTGCTCTGTGTTTCTCACCAGTCACACTTTGCTGGGAAGGTGGCAAGCCGGATTCTCCTATAGTCATTTTTGCTCCATAATTCCGTGGAGGGCTAAGGGGTGGGGCGGGGTGCGCAGGGAGCACTGGGAGCAGTGGGAGGCACTGGTGGGTCAGAGGATCTGGGAATCAGCCTTGTTTGGGGAGCGAGCAGGAAAGGAGGAGGTGCAGGTGGACAGCCAGTTGCCTGCGCAGCCTCTCTAATGGGAAATCCTGTTGAGGTGCAGATTGGTCTTAACATGTGGGGAGAGACCCCTGGTTCTGCATGATTGGTCCTAATATGTGGGAGAGACCCCTGGCTCTGCATTTCTAATAAGCTGGGATGGGGGGGGGGTGCTAGTTAATCTTCTTATTGGCATGATACCAAAACCTCAGTAAATGTAACTATACTAGGCTTGCTTGTGAAGATGGCTAGGTAGGTAGGTACGTAGATGAAACACCTAAGTAAAAAAGATGAAATGTAAATAAAAAGGAAAGTCCAACCCAACCAAGCAGCTTATCTCAAGCCTGTTGGGAACACTTAGAAAAGCCAGGTGGTCCTGTAAGGAGGAGGCCTGCTGGGCCTAGGAGGCAGTCTGGGTTCAGAGAGACACCAGCTGGGGAACTGCCCCGGGCTGGGAGGGCTGCTGGCTCGCCCCTGGCTCTCTGCTCCTCTCTGCTGACTGTGGGAGTGGGGGAGGCCATGACTGGCCCTCTATCCTAGTCAAGACTCCAAGGGATATCTAATTTTGAAACTTTGTTCATTAAAGACTTTACCCCGCATCATTTAAAAAGAAACTTTTGTAATTTATTTTTATTTGAAAGGCAGAGTGATGGAGGGAGTCAGAGACATAGACAGAGAGATATTCTATCTGCTGGTTCACTCCCCCAAATGCTCATACAAGCTGGGCTTGGGGCAGGTCAAAGCCAGGAGCCTGGAACTCCGTGCAGGTCTCCCTTATGGGTGGCAAGGACCCAGGTACTTGAGCCATCACCTACTGCCTCCAGGTGTGTGTTAGCAAGAAGCTGGGTCAGATACAAAGCAGCCAGGACTACAACTGGCACTCTGATATGGGATGTAGGCATCCCAGCTGGCAGCTTAACCTGTTGTACCACAATGCCCAACCTGCAATTTTTTTTTTAAATGCAGGTTCTTTTAGTCTTTTTAGTCCCGAAGAGCAGTTTTGACTGTGCCAACATTCCACCAAAATAAGCCTGGACTATTTCTCACAGAATAGAATGCATGGGAATGGCTAATCTCACACCCAGGGTTTTGATTCCTTTGCTTTAAGGGTCAGAGTAGGAGTCCTGATTAACCTCTTAATGGGGATAAACTCAACAGAACTGAGATTTGTAGCAACAAGGTGGCAGAAATTTCTGGAGCAGGGGTTTGCAACAAATTCTGAAACTAAGCTGGAAGGAACTGTGGCATTTGACCTCTTGAATTTGCCTGGGGGAGACACCTTCTGAACACTTCTCTTGGGCTCCCTGCAAAGCCCTTTCTACTAACATATTTGTGGGCACAACCATTTTCTAGGACATTGCCCTACCTCTTCATCTTGAAAGCTGGCAGAGTGCCTTTGTTCTCCTGTGCTCTGCCCCCAGATGGCAAGGACCTAGCGCATGGTCCTCATTCTCTGCCCAACAGTGTTGGGTCTGTGTAAATTTCCACTCCTCTCATTTCCCTTTCTCTCCCCTTTAGAGTCAGGGAAGGCACCTCCCTGCCTTAATCAGATCATCTTCAAAAGGACTTTGGGCCCTGACTCATAGCTGCCCATCCACCCACCCCACCCAGGGCCCGAGTTCTCCCAGGCAACACAATGGCACCCATCTGGTCTGTTGGATCATGGTTCCCTTGTAAGCTCTGGTCTGGTGACTTTCACTTCCGCTGCGCTGCAACAGCTGCGTGGGCAGCCCCGCCCCGGACACTGCCGGCACTGGAGCCACTCTCCCTTTGAAGCCGGACTCTGAGCTCTGTGTACTGACGCTTCCCACCACCTGCCCTTCCCATACCCTCACACTCGCCCCGCCTGCTCCAGAGCTCCTCGAACCTGTTTACTCAACTCATTCTTTATTTTTTTTTAATTTTATTTACTTGAAAGGCAGAGTGACGGAGAGATAGAGGGAGAGACAGAGATCTTCCATCTACTGGTTCACTGTCCAATGGGTCACAACAGCCAGGCTGCAGCCAAGAGCCAGGAAGGAACCCCATCCAGGCCTCCCATGAGCGTGGCAGGGGCTCAAGTACTTGGGCCGTCTTCTGCTGCTTTCCCATGCGCATTAGAGGCAGCCTGGCGTGTCAGAGTGAGACAGCAGTGATGTGAGGGTGACGACGAGGGAAAGACACGGGGAGACCCTTTGTCGCCGACTGTGAGGCGGAGGAAGGGGGTGTGAGCCGGGGCAAGAGGAGCCTGTAGACACTGGGAAAGGCAAGGAACTGGACTGTTCCCTAAGCCTCCAGGAAGAGCCAACCTCGCCGACCCTCACTGTGGCCCAGTGAGACTGGCTTTGGACTTCTGAGCTGCAGAGCCGTCCTCTCCTACAGCCATGAGACTGAAGTCCACACACATGTGGTGATTTCTCTGAGCGGCACGAGGAAATACACGCAAGGTTGTGAAAGGTTATTCTTTTACCCACTGTGTAGTTTGCCTGGGGAACAAAGGTTCTGTATTTGACCAGAATAACCTTCTCTGGTTCACGCTGACTTTATGATAGCCCTTGATTATTTAAGAGAACAAAGTTTTCTCACTTAGGAAAAAGTCAGATTCTTCATAATCATGTTACCCCTCTCCTTTCTCTCTTTTTTCTTTTTCTTTTTTTTTTTTTTTTTTTGGGGGACAGGCAGAGTTAGACAGTGAGAGGGAGAGAGACAGACAAAAAGGTCTTCCTTTTCCACTGGTTCACCCCCCAAATGGCCACTACGGCCAGCATGCTGTGCTGATCCGAAGCCAGGAACCAGGTGCTTCCTCCTGGTCTCCCATGCGGGTGTAAGGCCCAACCATTTGGGCCATCCTCCACTGCCTTCCCGGGCCACAGCAGAGAGCTGGACTAGAAGAGGAGCAACCGGGACAGAATCCGGCACCCCAATCGGGACTAGAACCCGGAATGCCAGCACCGCAGGAAGAGGATTAGCCTAGTGAGCTGTGGTGCTGGCGAGCCTTCTCATTTGTTTAAGAAATAGATATGGTAACTCTAAGTTGTCAAGTATTGTCCCTTGACATCTTTTAATAGTTTGCCTTCCTCACATTTATTTTTTAATTTTACATATTCATTTTCTTTCTTTCTTTCTTTCTTTCTTTTTTTTTTTTGAAAAATAGACAGACAGACTGATCTTTCATCAGCTTATTCATTCCCTAAATGCCTGCAGCAGTGACGGTTGGACCAGGCCAAGCCAGGAGCCCAGAACTCCATCCAGCTCCATGTGGGTGACAGGGAGCCGTCACCCGCCGCCTCCCTGGTGTATTAGCAGGAAGCTGGAAGAAAAGCGAAGTAGCAGGGACTCCAGCCCGATGCTCCCGTAGACAATGTGAGCCTCCGAATGCCTGCCGCTCCCCGTAGATTTTTAAATGATATGTTTTGTACCTAAAACTGCCTTTGATGTTTCCCAGAGGAAAAACACTAACAATTTGTCCTCTTACTTCGCACAAAAGAGAATCATTGGAAATGCTTAGTTGTATTTGATTTGTTACTTTTGATGAGTTGTGTAGGAAGAGTTGTGGAAACAGAAGAGACACTTTGCTTTCCTCAGATTAAAGTTGTATGGTAGGCCAGTGCCGCAGCTCACTAGGCTAATCCTCCACCTGCGGCGCCAGCACCCCGGGTTCTAGTCCTGGTCAGGGCGACAGATTCTGTCCTGGTTGCTCCTCTTCCAGGCCAGCTCTCTGCTGTGGCCCGGGAGTGCAGTGGAGGATGGCCCAAGGAGGAAGCACCTGGCTCCTGGCTTTGGATTGGCGCAGCACACCGGCTGCAACACACTGGCCGTAGCGGCCACTTGGGGGGTAAACCAACGGAAAAAGGAAGACCTTTCTCTCTGTCTCTCTCTCTCACTAACTCTGCCTGTCAAAAAAAAAAAAAAAAAAAGTTGTGTGGTAGAATGCTATAAAATACAGGTTTTCAGGAATTGTATGCTATGTGGGAAATTCCTAGAGACTTGTCAATGCCTCGTTGTCCATGATGTGCTTTTATTTTTTTAAGATTTATTTATTTAACTTGAAAGTCAGAGTTATACAGAGAGAGGAGAGGCAGAGAGAGCGAGGTCTTCCATCTGCTAGTTCACTTCCCAGTTGGCCGCAATGGCTGGAGCTGAGCTAATCTGAAGCCAGGAGCCAGGAGCTTCTTCCAGGTCTTCCACGTGGGTGCGGGGGCTCAGGGGCTCCGGCCATCTTCCGCTGCTTTCCCAGGCCATAGCAGAGAGCTGGATTGGAAGTGGAGCAGTCAGGATTCAAACTGGCACCCATATGGGATGCCGGCACTGCAGGCGGCGGCTTTACCTGCTGCGCCACAGCACCAGCCCCTCATGATGTATTTCTTGGTGCTGCTTTCCCAGATCTTAGACAACCATAGTAGAATGTTATCAGTCATGATTTCAGCTGTTTCTTTAAGTGGTAACCCAGTCACAGCTTCTTTGATTTGAATCTAGTGTCTCTGAGGCCAGCAGTTTTCATTTACCAATGGAGTGTTATTAAACTTAAGATCTATTCTAAATGTATAAATCTCTTTACTTGAAATGCTTTTATGTATCTTTATATAGTCTTAATGTGTTTGAACATATGTTTAGTAATGATAAATTATGTACCAATATTATTATTATATATCTGAAATTTTATATTATATATTGTTATATATCTGAATTTTTTCCTGTAAAAAGATTGTTTTTTTTTTCTTTTTTAAAGCAAGAATTACAGAAAGAGAGAGGCAGAGATTTCCATCTGCTGGCTCACTCCCCAAATGGCCACAATGGCCAGGCCCATGCCAGGTTGAAGCCAGGAACTCCATCCAGATCTCTCACTTGAGTGGCAAGGGCCCAAACACTTGGGCTTTCTTCTACTGTTTTCCTAGGGGCATTATCAGGAGCTGGATTGGAAGTGGAGCAGCCTGGACTTGAACTGGCACTTATATGGGGTGCTGGCATTGCAGGCGGCAGCTTAACCTGCTGTGCCACAATTCTGGCCAGTTCTTTTGTTTTTATAAATTATATACAACATCTCCTATTTAAAAATAGGGTTATCCATTATGTTAATAGGTCTATTTTTTTTTTTCTTAATTTGAGAGACAGAGGAATAGAGATAGAAAGAGAACTCCCATCTGTCGGTTCATTCCTCAGATGCTTGCAATGGCTGGAACTAAAAACTCCGTCTAGATCTTCCACATGAGTGGCAGATCCCCAATTACTTAAGACACCACCTGCTGCCTCCCAGGATCCACACCAGCAAGGAACTAGAATTAGGATTGGAACTGGGATTGAAACACAGGCACTCCAATATGGGATATGGTGTCTCAAACAATGTCCCAACCTCTAAGCCAAATGCCCACCCCTTTCATCTAAAACATTTTAGGCTGATTTTACTGTTTTGTTTTGCACGTCACAGAAACAACCAATTTTCCATGTCAGTTGTACCATCCTTGTTATGAACTCTGAGCAGGTCCTTCACATTTGAAACTTGTCAATAATAGGTTAACCACAGTCATTTCATTTTGCCATCTACAGATAGTTTTTTGTCTCACTCTGGTACTTCCTTGAAAGCTCTTACAGTCAACTGCAGACCACAGCGTCTCGTCTTCCACCAAGAAGGGGTGTGTCTGGGCAGTGTGGTCAAGACCTCTGCTGGGTACGTCGGGGAATAAGCTTGTGACAGCATCATGTAATCAGCTTTGAGGCCATACCAGTACACTGAGTCAGGATTTCTAGATCTCCAGCTGAGATACCAATGAATGCATGAGATGAATAACCCAAATCCAGTGCATCAGGGATTTATTACCTGAGACTGAATGAACTATGATCAAGGATTTTACTTGAAATATATATTTATAGGATATATTTATTTATCTGAAAGCAGAGTGACAGAGAGAAAGGGAGGGAGGGAGGGAGGGAGGGAGAGAGAGAGAGAGAGAGAGAGAGAGAGAGAGAGAGAAATAGTTCACCTGCAGATTCACTCCCCCAGTGCTTACAACAACCAGGGCTAGGCCAGGCCAAAACCAGGAGCCAGGAACTCCATCCAGGTCTCCTGCATGGGTGGCACAGACCCAAATGCTTGGGCCATTATCTGCTGCCTTCCCAGGATGCACATTAGTAGGAAGCTGGATCAGAAGCAGAGGAGTTGGGACTCCAATCAGGCGCTCCAATCTGGGCTGTAGGCATCCCAAGCAGCAGCTTAACACACTGTGCCATATATTGTGTTTGGAGCATTGTTGATATTACTTTGATGCCCTGTGCCCTGGATGCCTGAGAAACCTACTTTTCCTGAGCTGTCTGTAACTCACAACAGTTTTGGCTATACCTTGGTAACCAGAGCAAACCATGTGTGACTATTTTATTCTCTCTCCTTGACTCCTCCAAAGTTCAGAAATTCTCATTAAACATTCTTTTAAAATAATTTTTGTTTGTTTGAGAGGCAGAGTGACAGAGAGAGAGGGAATGACAGAGAAAGAGATCTTCCAACTGCTGGTTCACTCCCCTAAATGGGTAGAACAGCCGGAGCTGGGCCAGGCTGAAGCCAGGAGCCCAGAACTCCATCCAGGTCTGCCACTTGCGTGGCAGGGGTCCAGGTACCTGGGAAATCTGCTGCCTTCCTAGGCCATTAGCAGGGAGCTGGATTGGAAGTTGTACAGCCAGGACTTGAGCCTTTGCTCTGATATGCAATGCCAGCCTCGCATGTGACAGCCCAGTCCACTGTTGCCATAGCACTGGCCCCTCAGTGAGCATTCTCAGTTCTGTGACAGTGTAATCATTTGCACAGGTTTCCTGAGAACTTGTTTTCCCTGTTAACAGGACATAATTGGAGACACCGATCACATACTCAAAGCTTTGCTTGGAATATCCTATTTGAGAACAAGGCTCATTTAACCAGGCATGACCCGACACTTTTGAGCAACTAGGGTTGTTTTTATGGAGCCAATGCGTACAAGATCTGGGAAAAGTGGCCTGGAACCTGGCTTGCAGAGTTCCCAGCCTTGCAGGTGAATAAGGAAGGTCAATTATTGGCAAGCCCCTGAGCTTCTAGATACAGTGCCTGGGGGACCCTGAGGAGTGGAATTTGCTCAGACTGATAGGTACCAGCAGTGAACGTGATGTTAAGTTCTTGACTTGATTTCCCAACCTCAGGATCCGTTCAGAATTCCTTCCTTCCCAAGGCTTCCAGCAAAGCAAACAGAAGGAGCTCAAATGGGAAATGACCATCCTCGCCATGAGACTGGTCTAATTTTGTGACCAAGAAGAATCTGTCTTTGAGATTATCCTAATGAAAAGCGAGGTGACTGAAAAGAGAAATGCTGTGTTTCCAGACTCCTGGTGAGCAGACACCAGCCCTTCTCCTTGCCTCTGAGTTTTCTCATGCTTCTTTCTACACGGCAGGTGGCCGGTGACTATGCAGGCTCTGTCTGATGAGATTAATGGACTTCCTTCTCATACCCCTTGTGGATAAACCAGTTTGAGTGCCAACTTTTCAAGTGGACTGGATCCTGTTGTTGATCCTTACCAAATGTCTACTTCCTCCGGTTTTCCTCATATCTGACTATTAGGGAGCATCAAGGAGTCCATGGAAAAATGGAATTAAAGATAAAGTCATTTTGGTGCAAAAGTTTTGAACTCCATGCATATTTTCCCATAGTACATTTTCCATGAACTTTTTGAAGATCCCTTGTACACACCCTTCCCAACAAACCTGACCCATTTTCCTTCCTACAGCCTGAACTGGCATCACCAGGAATTAAAACCTGACTGCCCAGATCCCTGTCAGGACTCTGGGCTGCCTTGGGGGTGGCCTTGTCTCACAAGATATGAAGTTCTGAGAGCTGAAGCCCCATGACTTGGCCTAAACCTCAGGAGACCCAGCAGCTTAGCAAACCATGGACGAGCCATTGGCTGGACCACAGAGGAAGTCCATCCGCCAGAAGGCTCCAGTCCTCCATGCCCTCCTGGGAGGAGTAGCAAGACCGTGGATACACAAAGTCATCAACATCTCAGCTCCGTCTCAGAGACTCAGGGAGCTGTGCTGAGGGGTTTTCTTCTGCTGACCCCTTGGAATTCACAGAACTGGTTCCTTCTCAGGGTTCAGCTCCTGGCCGTTTGCTTTAATACTGCTTCTACGTTATTACTTTTCTGTTTCGGACATCCATCTTTTAGGATGCCTGGGTCTCCAGGACCCTCAAGCAGCTCAGCTGTCAACAGATGGCTCAACAGCTTTTGTGGGAACAGCAGCAACAGGAGTCCTAGCAGGACTGTGTCTTAGGCGCCGGTTTGGAGATTTGCGCTTTCTCCGAGCTGTTAGTGATGAGCGACATTCACCCGGGGCCAAAGCTGGGACTGACAATGCCGAACTTTACCCGAGCCTCATGCAACTCGGCAGCGATGGTTAGAAACACCACCCTTTTGAGTTTCAGAAAGAGCGAGCCAGCCGACCACAGAGCGCCAAGCTATTCTCTCGATTCCTGATAGAAGACCAACCTCCATCCATCCCATGATGCTCTTGCCTACCTGCCTCTCTAAGACCCCAGGCTCCCTGCCTCGTCTTTGAGATGTTCCTTGGGAACGGAACTTCTCCTTATCTCACTAGCCTGAATGAAGTCACTTCCTTAATGATCGGGTAATTTTGTGTGCCACAGCCAGTGAGTGCCTCCTTTGGTGGCGGCAGCCAGCACCTCACCCATGACTGTGCTGCTGGAGGGGCAGCCACCTGTGCCCCGGGGCTCTTTCCAGTGCTCCTGTGGCTTAACCTGTGTGCAACCACTTTTCAGAAGCTCAGGACGTGAGCCAACCCAGAGAGGGATGCCTCGGTTAGTGGAGCAGGTGGAAGGGAAACGCCTGCCTCCCGTGCTGACTGAGACAGGAAGGAGTCAGTCTGAGATACTTCTGGGCTGAGACAGTGGTGACACATGCCCAGTTATGCCTTTATTGGAAGGAGGAAATAATATCCAGCCTGGACAGGTATTGGGTAGAAAGCAGGCCAAGTCAGAGCTGGGCTGGGGCAAGTGCTGTAAAATGTGCAAGTTTTAAACCCACAGATCCCATCTCATTGCTCTTCTCAGTGGAGAGAAGGCAAGGAGGGCTCCCTTGGGTAGCATGTGCGTGGTCAGGGGTGTTTGAAGGCAGGGATCAATGGGATCTCTCAGCTCTGTGACTTTGCAGGGTGGATTTTAGCAAGGGCATGTGATGTAAGGACAAGGAGACCCTGATAATGTCACCATTCCATAGCCATCTCTTGTTGCCCGAGAGGAACCCAGGAGTTCCTGGATTCTTTATTGTCCGTTTCCCCCGGTGAAGTAAGTGTCAGGGATCTTGTCTGTTGCAAGATCCCAGGGACCAGCAATAACCAGGAAGCCCCTAAGAATTCTTAGGGCCCTTGGATGTTGTGTGTGGTGTTCCCAAGCCTAGCACAGTACTTGGTACCCGGGAGGCATTTCATGGTGCTTGGGCATCTGTCCTTCCTGTGAATCACATGTTCTGGGTCTTATAAAGGATGACAAAGCAAGAAAGCTTGCTGGGTAAGACAGGGGGATGGGGTGACTCTTGTTACTTGGACTTGTATACACAAAGTTTTAGCCAAGTGGTTGCCTAGAACCCTTTTGGAAAACTCCAGTCACTGGGAGTCAAATGCCCACTTTTAATTAGCCAAGGCTGGGTTTTCCCGTCTCAAGCCGCAGTGCTCAGCCATCAAGGCCACCTGCTGCAAGTCCCGTTGAGTTCATCTCTGCCAGCCTTTATGCCTGTCTCAAAGTAATTTGTGTGCTGGGAGTTGGCTTTGAACAGAGCGGATTCTTTGAAAAACAGGCAGAAAAACCAAAGTCCTTTAGCAATAAGGTAGTCCCATATACGTGGCTGGGAGGTGTCCAAGCCAGGCAGCCCCAGGAGGATTGAGTTAGTGTAGGTTTGGATGAGGGCAGAAGAGAGCAGGTTCTTGGTTTCCGGGGGAGTTCGTGCTTGCTTGGTGGGGGTGGGGGTGGTGTGTCCAAATTAAATTCCTTTTATTTTGAGGGCAGCCCATTGACAAGGCAATGATGGAAAAGTGAAGTTTTGGATACCAAAGGGAACCAGAGAATTTTGATGTCATAAGGGTTTGTTACTGAACTGCAAATACCTGGTCAAGTCAACCTCAAGTGAATTGACTGATATTTGGGGGAAGGGATGCTGACTGACATGTGATAGAGATAGACCTAGGAAATAACCGTAGGTCAGGGCACCAGCCGAGCACAGCTTGGCCCCTGCCCCAGGAAGCCTCGGAGGCAGGAGGGCCTTCTTTGCTGGCACACACAGACCCACACTTGAACTGTTCGCCCTAAGAAAGTTCAGCTTCACAAATGGACTGGATTGGTTCCATGGGTTGAAAATGGTGAAGTGAATGAAGGTCTGTTACTGGGATGGCCTAGACTAGGGTCACCAAGACAGGGTCCGAGGCCCGGTAAGAAACAATGGCTCAATGTGTTCACAGGGGTTTGCACGAGGGAACAGCATAGTTACAGCCTAGCCTCCCTTCTTACTAGGTGGATCTCTCTGGGTGGTCCCTGTCGTGGTCCTGCACGGCCCTGTTTCAGCTTCAGTTGCCAGTTTTCTTTCTTTAGAAGAACATTAGTCCCTGGTGGGCACGTTCAAGTACCTCTTAAGTCCCCACGGTAAGCTTCTTCCAGGTTGTCTTGAGTGGAAGACCTGAACTTCAAAAGATGGATGTAACCATCTTGCTCTGCTTTGCTGTAAGTGGGATGGACGATGCCTACCTAGGATCGTGTTGGTTGCAAGAAAGTAGAAGAGCTCCATGTCCAAGTAGCTAAGTGAGGATGAGACAAGGGCTTCCGGTTAGGTGGGGCTAGGAGCAGTGGGACATTGAGCAGAGATCACAGGTAGCAGTCAAGGGGCTCTGTGGGTATGCGCATGGCAGTGGTGGGATGCCCCAGCATCTGGGACCCATCTGTGCCATGCCACCTGTGCATATTAATGTAGCCCAGCATCCTGAAGGCTCCCTGGCACCCTGAAATCTGTGGTGACAAGCATCAGATTTACCTGCATAGCCAGATTCTTTGTGGGTCTTAGAGCAGGGAACCGGGTTTGGGTTGCTGGCAAAGGACTTTGTTCTTGGGGGCTGGGAGGAGACAGAGGACAAAAACATCTATTATTAAGCTGAGGAAAATGCTGTGGTTGCCTGTCTGGCTGGTGACAATGTGTGGTGGGGGTTTGTGTATATGAGAGTGAGTATATGCGCACAGTTGTAAAGGAAGTGCAGCAAGAGGCGACCCCTGGCTCTCATCCTGAGACCCACTGACTCACCCCAAGCAGTGCCTGCCGGGCTGGAAGGCAAGAAGAGGTGGTGCTCTGTAAACCTGGCCTCTCCTGCTGAGTCCACTCCCTACCAGAAAGAATGCGCTGAGTCTGCCAGGTGGGACCAGCTCCAATGCGGGCATGCATAACCTCCCACTGAAGGGCGGCCAGTGACCTCTGCTGCCTTCTGGAAGAAGACGGACCCAGGGGTCAGGGCTATGGGGCCAGTGGCAAGTGGCAGCCATGGCTGGAATTGAGCCTTCTCACGATTCTGCTGTGATGGGAGAGTCTGGGGAAGCTGCAGCCACTGTGCTATCATCCCACTGCTTGTCAGAAGGGAGCGTTCAGACCCTCCTAGGATGGTACAGAAGATGGGCTCTGTCTAGTCCAGGCACGGTCCAGGCAACAGCGTTAATCATGACTCATGCCATGAACTGGCGCGACAGGAATGCAGCTGATGGACTTGGCCGCTGGCCCTCACTTGCCATCAGTGCCCCAAGAAGGAGCTGCAGTATCTCTAGCTATTTTAGGGCTGATGCAGAAGATATCTTTGTATTGCCAGTGTGCGAATACCATGTAATAGTACCTAAGGTACATAAAGTGTGCTGGAGAGGGCCCAGATCAAGTCAAGTCCATCACATTGAAACCTGATGTCTCCCAGGCCAAGGAGCCATGTGTACAGTTGCCGTGTCATGGCAACCTTTGCAAACCCGGCTGTACCCAGCCGTACCAGTGCCACCTCCATGGCACATTCCATGGCCACTCCCAGGATCGTTCAGGAACATTTCCAGCCAGTCTGGGAGCCAGCCCAGGGATATGCCCTTTGTAGTAAGTCTTGGACTAAAAGAGATAAAAATTAGTTACACAATGTATGAAGCACCAGCAGTGTAACATCTTCACTCCATGTGTCTAGTCTGACTGGCTCATCTCGGTTCTTGCCGCCAACACCATCCTAGGGAGGCGTCTCCCACCCTGTTTACATTGGAAGCATAGCCAGATGGTTACATCCGTCTTTTTTTTTTTTTTTTTTCATGAACAGATAGGTTTATTTCAATAAGTTTGAAACTCTTGCTTTTATGCAAGCGTACTACAGTAAGTATATCGGGAATTGACAATGCCCTACACTGTCAAATGTATAAAGTTATGCATTTGTATACAAATGTATAAAAGTTCCTTTTGCACTTTCTTCAACACTGTGTTGTCCACTTCTGCTTTGACCTCTGCTGAGTCGACCCGGGCTGCTTCTGCGGGGACTCTGGCATCTCAGGTGGGGAGGGGGCGAGGGGGCCTGAAGTAGACCTTCCCCACGTCATAGACAAGCCGCCATGGCCCAGGACTGGTGTCTGGGGTTACACATACCTCACCCCACCCCAGAACACAAAGCTAGAGTGTGGGTAGATGAGGTATCTCTAGTAATGTAAACTCTCAATAAATGCACTACTACTCCTGATCGTAATTGTATGCCCCTGGTTAAAATTACCAGCCAGATTAACTCTAACACCATGGAATGTTTCTAATTAAAATTACATTAAGACAGGCTGATTTCTGACTAAGCATTTCAAATGAAGTTCCAGCACTGATTGCCCTAACCAAAATCAGCTCCAAAGACATCTTGATCATATTAAAGCACGGATTATGTCATAGAAAACATTTGTAAACATGTGGCTCTTTGCCAAGCTCTCTCGCTTATGATTAAAAATAAGTTCTACGTTCTTGTATTATCTGTTTTCTGAATACCAATCTCCCATACAACTTTATTTAGCAGAGTTGGCCACACTTACACAAAACTGAGCGTTTTTACATTTGATTTATTCTGCCTTAGAAGTCACAAAGCAATTGGCAATTCTGCCTCTAAAGCAATTCATTAATAATTCCCTTGCCCCAAAATAATGACCACCCAAGTCACTACTTACACGATTTCTGCGTAAGCTTATTTGTGCTGATGTTTCCAGTGCCCTTCCTAATTCTTCTAACTGAAGCCTGCGGAACCACAAACATCTGATCTCCTGCAGAACCTCTCCAGATCGATACAGATCGGATTTTGATTTTACTTTAAAAATTACTCCATTCCATTAGCTAATGAGATGCTTTTATAAAAAACCTTTCACAAACCAAATTAAACTTTCAAATAGTAAACTCAAGTATATGTACTCAGGTAATCACACACCTACAGTATTTTAAGATAATGGGTATGGTTCAGATGGAACAGGGTGGCACCTGACTCGACAGTTAAGAACCTGCATCCCTTAGGGGAGTGCCTGGGTTTGAGTCTCCGCTCTGCTAACAATTCAGCTTCTTGCTAATGTGTCCTGGGAGACAGCAGGTGATGGTTCAAGTACTTGGGCCTCTGCCACCCATGTGGGAGACCTGGGTGGAGTTCTGGGCTCCCTTGGCTATTGTGGGCATTTGGGGCATGAATCAGCAGATGGAAGATCTCTCTTTCTCTCTCTGTTGTTCAGCATTTTTTTTTTCCTAAAGATTTATTTATTTGAAAGGCAGAATTGCAGGGGTGGAGGGGAGAGAGAGAGAGAGATATCTTCCATCCACTGCTTCACTCCCCAGTGGCCACAACAGCTGGAGCTGTGCCAATCCAAAGCCAGGAGCCAAGAGCTTCTTCCAAGTCTCCCACATGGGTGAGGTAGCCCAAGCACTTGGGCTATCTTCTACTGCTATCCCAGGCCATAGTAGAGAGCTGGATTGGAAGTGGAGCATTCGGGTCTCGAACTGGCACCCATATGGAATGCTAGCACTACAGGTGGAGGCTTTACCTGCCACACCACAGCATCGGCCCCATCAGCCTTTCAAACAAACTTTTAAAACACAGAAGGCCAAATTGAACACATCCCTGTGGTGGTAGGGAAGGGAGAGGAGCAGAGAGCTGAGGCCAGGGCTGGGTTCTCAGCCCCTGAGCCCATCTGGGCAGGCTTTCCCGATCTCCCGTGCACCTGACACACTTCCTTCCTTTAACAGTCAACAGGGAGGAGCTTTGCCCCAAAGTGTTGTCTCCATCTTCCGATTAAAAAGAAAAGTCGTATTTACAACTTCCAGCTTGACAATCATCAAGGTCTGTGGTTTATCGACTTGGGTCTCTGGCTCCCTGGGGCCAAGGACTCCTTCTTCTCCGGGATGCTGTGCTGTGCCCTTGTCTGAGTCATCCTTGAGGCTGGATCCCTGCACTCACCCCCTGCCCTTTGGTGGGGCCTGGAACCAGCACCTCTGAGATTCCCGTCACCACAGGGAGGTGCCGACGAGGGCACGGACTAGTACTTCACCTTCAGGTTTCCTTCTCGGCGTCTTCTCTCACTCTGTCTCTTTCTCCATGCCTCTGTCTGTCCATCCACCTCTGCCTCTTGCTCTCCATCCTTCTGTCACTGTGTCCGCTTCTCTGGCTCTCTCCTCTGCGTCTCTGCCTCCCTCTCGCTGTTAATCTCTTTTTGCCTCTGATTCTGTCTCCCTGCGTCTGTCTCTGTCTCCCTCCGGGCTCGGTCTTCGGCCTTTATCCCGCCTCACTTGCCAAGTCAGTGCCCTTTGCCAGGGCACCTCCCAGGCCTACAGTGACAGCCGTGTGGAATCTGAGGGTAGAAGCCAGATGGCTCACAAGGACTTTGAAGATTCTGTTTTAAAGTCATGGGAGTAAAAGTAGTGATTAAAAAAAAAAAAATCCGTGCATGGGTCCTGTGCCAGGGGCATCTCCTATGTTGTTTCTGACCCTAAACGAAGAAATGAGATGCCTTATTCCGTGGCACCCAAGACACTTTGCTTGTAGGACCACCATTATATCACATCCTTTCAGACAAAAGGCCCACCGTCTACACCGCAACCCGCCCTTGATGGCTGCCTGCGTCTTCATTTCAGCCATGCTGAGACGTGCAGGGACAGAAAGGGCATGGAGAGGTGGGGAGCAGGGTGAAGGCAGACGAGGAAGCTGAGGACAGAGGAGCCCGGAGCCTCCTTCGAGGGGTCGGGCTGTCCCCAGCCTCTGTGTCAAGCTTGGAGGCCTTTTTCCTCCAGCAATATCTGCTTTCCCACCTGCTTGTCCCCAGGAACACCAGAAGCCCCCTATCACCGACTGGGGCGGGGCACCTGTTCAGCACTGGAACTGCTGCCCCCGAGGCCACCTCCCCATGTCCACCACAGAGCCTGGTACGGGACTGTGTGTTCCGCGGCCACTCTGAGATTGCTGGCCGTGGTGGGGTTGGCATGGAACAAGCGGGCACTGGCCGTGGCCACCAAACCCACCGCGGTGCTCCACTTCTCTTTTTTAAAGGATTTATTTATTTATTTGAAAGGCAAGAGTTAGAGAGAGTGAGATTTGATCTGCTGGTTTCACTCCCCAAATGGCCACATTGGCTGGGGCTGGTCCAAGCCAAAGCCAGGAGCCAGGAGCTTCTTCCAGGTTTCCCATGTAGATGCAGGGGCCCAAGGACTTGAGCCATCCTTTGATGCTTTCCCAGGTGCATCAGCAGAGAGCTGGATCAGAAGTGGGGCAGCCGGGACTTGAACCGGTGTCCATATGGGATGCCGCTGCCCCAGGGGCCCTTTACTGGCTACACCCCAGCACCAGCCCCTCTCCACTTCCTGTCCTGGCTGGGGAGAGAGCCACAGCTAAGGCAGCTGAACTGTCAAGGTGGATGTGGGGCTCTTTCACTGCTTCTGCCCACCCCACCTATTCTTCTCCGTCCACAGTGGCCGCCTCTCGGGTCCCTGACTCAATTTTCCTCGTCCGCCTCCACGTGTTTCCCTGGAGATGACCGGGGTCTCTGTGGCTGAAGCGAGCTGCCATGTGCTTCCCTGTGTGCATTTGGCAATGCAGGCCGAGCTTACTAACACCTGCACACACAGGAAGGGCTGTCCCCGCAGCCCTGGGAGGGTGAGGGGCCACACACGCAGTCCCCACCCGGCTGGAGTCCACAGCCCGGTGAGCGAGCAGAAGTCATCAGAGCAGCTCAGAAATTAGTGGAGATGGGAGGAGCTGGGTTGGAGCAGGCACCCCCAACACACACACGCTCACACACACACACACTGTACGCCCCCTCCCCCCCACTTATGGTTGAGGGTGGGGCCATGTGGTAGGTGCCCGCCAAGGACCCTGAGTGGGCATGCGTGTCCCCTCCAGGCACAGCCTGTCAAAACCGGTTGTCTCGCCAACCCTCTGCCCACGCTGATGACCTTGGGCCCCCGCACTACCCAGCCCACAACGAGCCCAGAGTTCCCGAGAAAGAAACCGGAACTGAGTTTGTTTCCTGAGATCCTGGGTTTGACTCAGCGCCTGGTGGTAACCACCTTACCTAACAGGGTCACACGTTCCTACAAGGGGTGACACGTCAAGAACGAACCAGTCGGGCAGGCAGTGTGGCGCGTGGGCACCCACATCCCCTGTCATGGTGCTGGTTCCAGGCCTGGCTCCTCTGCTTTCAACCCGGCTCCCTGTTATGCACCTGGGAAGCTGCAGGTGATGGCCCTGGTACTTGAGATCTTACCATCTGCATGGAGACAGGGATGGAGTTCCAGGGTCCCACAGCCTGAGCAAAGGCCCTGTGGTCAGAGAGCACTTTGGATGCGCAGTGCTGCATCTGCTCCCTGTGCGGCTGGTTTACGGAGGGCACCCTGGGGTGCACGCTGAGGTGGCTGCTGCCTGGCTCTCCCACAGCAGGGGCTGCTCTGCCCTCCCCTCCTCAGCCCCTCACAACCAGTCCGCAGCCCCCTGGATGGGGTCTCACTCATAGTCTGCCTCATTTCTCACCCTGTTCAGTTCTGCTCATGGGCCTGGGGACCCTGGGGAGGGGGAGGGGCAGCAACTTAGAAGCTTGTCCCCAGCATTGCTGGGGGTGGAGCCAGAACACAGCCTGGCAAGGGGGCTGGCATCAAATGTGAGGCCCCTGGGTGGGAGGCTGGGGCATGGGCAGGGGAGGAGGGCTGTGGAGGGCCCCTTGTGTTCACTTTGCAAACCCAGCCGGTGAGCAGCAGCCCGGGTGGCCCAGTTGGTCTCCCTGGGGTACCCCAAGGCCCAGATGGAGTTCTGGAGGCCGGGCGGCCACCTGGTACCACTCAAACTGCTGGCACCCCCTCCACACACACCCTGCTCCCACGTGCCCCCTCGGCCTAAGCAAGCCTGCCCCTTCCATGTCAGTGCAGCTCCACCTGTCGCACACCTGCCCCAAACGCCTCCCCTGGGAGTGCAGAGTCAACCCTGGCCTGGCGTCCAGTGTTTTCGAGCTGTGGCCTCTGACCCCTTCCTGGACCTGCCCCCAGCTCCACCTGACTGCTGTCCCTGTCCCTTACCAACTCGCGTTTCCAGGACAGGATTTCAGACACCACAAAGGATGTGGCGAGGCTGCTCTCCTCTCTGCCTAACCTGGCCCAGCCCCGACTCTGCCTCCACGTGCCACCCCGGCAGCAGCATGCCCACCTCAGGCAGGGACCCGCTCCGCAGGGCAGCCCCGTCCCAGTTCTCAAGAGCCTCTTGCAGAGACCAATGACTTGGTTCTCTCAAGGGGACCTAGTGGGAATCTGCTGGGGCAGTGTTTTCCGGAAAAGATTTATTTCCTGATAACAGGGGGGCACATGTATCTGACTCCACCTTTTCTCTTTCCTCCTTCCTGGACGGCAGAAGTGAGGGCTGGAGCAGAGGCAGCCATATGTCAACTATGTTTGTCTGCTTCTAGATTGATTATGTGTCCCCCCTCCTCGTTTAAGCCACTGAAACCATTTTTCTTTCTTCCTTCCTTTCCTTTTTTTTTATTTTTTAAAGATTTATTTATTTACTTATTTGAAAGGCAAAATGACAGAGAGCGTGCTTCCCTCTGCTGATTCACTCCCCAAATTCCCACATCGTGCAGGGCTGGGCCAGGCGGAAGCTCGAAGCCAGGAACTCCATCCCCATGTAGGTGGCAGAAACCCTAGTACTTGAGCCATCACCTGCAGCCGCCCAGGCATATTAGCAGGAAGATGGATTGGAAGCAGAGGAGCTGGGACTGTGGCCAGCACTCAGATGTGGGATGCTGGTGTCGCACCAGCCCCCTGAAGCCATATCTGCTGGCGACAGGTAAATGTGTTGCTGTCACCTCTGCTCCCTGGGAGCACCAACTCCAGATGCTGGGACTGGGCCTTGCCCAGAGCTGCTCCGTGCTACAAATGTTACAAAAAGGGCCAAGAGAGGCGCCTCAGCTCTTTGTCTCACACAAAAGAAGGATTATCCTGCAGACACGGCAGTGAGAGTAAAGTGGGATTTATTCCTGCAGGAAAGCTCCCGCCAGAGTGGCAAAGGGGGGGGGGGCGCCAAGAGGGAAAGACCCAAAGAACCCCACAGCGCTGGGGGACCAATGTCAATCAACAAGGTGGGGACAAACTCCACAAAAGACCTGGTTTACAATTCTCCATCCTGTCCGGCTCGCTGAGGATTCAAAAAACCATGGTAAATTTGTAAAAATTTGGAGATTCCTAAGCAGCCGGACACTTTGGTCTGCTACAGAGAATCTTGTGGGGGGGAGCAGGCACCTCCTATTCCAGATTTCTACCAGGGGACCACCCTGACTGCCTGTTACCTCTTTGGCTTCTCAGACACAAGCACCTGATTGCACAGGTTACCGCCTGCCCCTGACTCTGCTCTTGACCTTGCTGCCCTGCGGACAATGGGCGCCCTGAGAAGGAGCCGTGCACTTGGACTTGCAATGCTTTTCTGGTCTCCAGCATTTCCCGCCGGCACGAGCGGTGCTGTGGCTGCTTTCCCTGTTCCACGCAGACCCCTCCCGGCTCCCGTGTCCCCAGGACGGTGTCGCTCCTCGTGGGCAGGGGCAGTCCCTCTGCAGGTGCTCTCTGTCCACGTGGTCCGGGCTCCCCACCCTGAACACCTGCCTCTCATCCGTACTTTCCTGTCCCCCCCACACACCGTGACTGCCCCAGGTGAGCAGAGCCCCAGGGCTCCTCTCCATCCTTAGGATCCTCGGTTGCAGGAGACCACTGCCTGAGCTTCCGGCTTCGGCCCCGCCCCCACCTGGCGGCTCCGCCCACTCACCACTCACTCCTCTGCCCCGCGGTTCTCTTCTCTCCCTCCTTCTCTTAAGGTTGAAGACTGTGGCCTGGGGGCTACAGGGCTCTGACAGCCGGAAACGCCTCGAGGGACCCCCACGTCCCTCGGGATGGCGTGGGCCCTGTTTCTCTTCCACCCTCCTGCCCTAGTCGGTCCCAGGCACAGGACAGGCCAGAACCTCGGGCCTCTGAGTTTGGACCCGCGCAAGGGAAGCTTCTCCGCTCTCTCGTCGTCCTCATTCTTCTCTCCTTACTCATTCTCAAGCCTGCCTCTGTGTGTCACCTCTGCCAGGAAGCCTCCCTGTCTGACAGCCTCAGGCGGAGCCACGTGCCCCACTGGGCACAGCTCTGTCGTGGAACGTATCACAAACACAGCACGTATCACACACACAGCACGTATCACACACACAGCACATACCACACACACAGCACATACCACACACAGCACATATCACACACACAGCACGTATCACACACACAGCACATATCACACACACAGCACATATCACACACACAGCACGTATCACACACACAGCACATATCACACACACAGCACGTATCACACACAGCACGTATCACACACACAGCACATACCACACACACAGCACGTATCACACACACAGCACATATCACACACACAGCACATATCACACACACAGCACGTATCACACACACAGCACATATCACACACACAGCACATATCACACACACAGCACGTATCACGCACACAGCACATACCACACACACAGCACATACCACACACACAGCACGTATCACACACACAGCACATACCACACACACAGCACATACCACACACACAGCACATACCACACACACAGCACATATCACGCACACAGCACGTATCACACACACAGCACATACCACACACACAGCACATACCACACACACAGCACATATCACACAGACAGCACATATCACACACACAGCACATACCACACACACAGCACATACCACACACACAGCACGTATCACACACACAGCACGTATCACACACACAGCACATACCACACACACAGCACGTATCACACACACAGCACGTATCACACACACAGCACATATCACACACACAGCACATATCACACACAGTACGTATCACACACACAGCACATATCACACACACAGCACATATCACACACACAGCACGTATCACACACACAGCACGTATCACACACACAGCACATACCACACACACAGCACATACCACACACACAGCACGTATCACACACACAGCACGTATCACACACACAGCACATACCACACACACAGCACGTATCACGCACACAGCACATACCACACACACAGCACATATCACACACACAGCACATACCACACACACAGCACATACCACACACACAGCACGTATCACGCACACAGCACGTATCACACACACAGCACATATCACACACACAGCACGTATCACACACACAGCACATACCACACACACAGCACATATCACACACACAGCACGTATCACACACACAGCACATATCACACACACAGCACGTATCACACACACAGCACATACCACACACACAGCACATACCACACACACAGCACATATCACACACACAGCACATACCACACACACAGCACGTATCACGCACACAGCACGTATCACACACACAGCACGTATCACACACACAGCACATATCACACACACAGCACATACCACACACACAGCACATATCACACACACAGCACGTATCACGCACACAGCACGTATCACACACACAGCACATATCACACACACAGCACATACCACACACACAGCACATATCACACACACAGCACGTATCACGCACACAGCACGTATCACACACACAGCACATACACACACAGCACGTATCACACACACAGCACATACCACACACACAGCACATATCACACACACAGCACATACCACACACACAGCACATACCACACACACAGCACATATCACACACACAGCACGTACCACACACACAGCACGTATCACGCACACAGCACATATCACACACACAGCACATACCACACACACAGCACATATCACACACACAGCACGTATCACACACACAGCACATACCACACACACAGCACATACCACACACACAGCACATATCACACACACAGCACGTATCACGCACACAGCACGTATCACACACACAGCACATACCACACACACAGCACATACCACACACACAGCACATACCACACACACAGCACATATCACACACACAGCACGTATCACACACACAGCACATACCACACACACAGCACATACCACACACACAGCACATACCACACACACAGCACGTATCACACACACAGCACATACACAGACAGCACATATCACACACACAGCACGTATCACACACAGTACGTATCACACACACAGCACGTGTCACACAGCACGTATTACACACAGCACGTATCACACACACAGCACATATCACACACAGCACATACCACACACACAGCACATACACAGACAGCACGTATCACACAGCACGTATCACACACACAGCACGTATCACACACACAGCACATATCACACACACAGCACATACCACACACACAGCACATATCACACACACAGCACATATCACACACACAGCACATACCACACACAGCACATACCACACACACAGCACATACCACACACACAGCACATACCACACACACAGCACA